TATATATATATATACACACATACAAACACACACACACACATACACAATTATTAATGCATTATATATTCATTCATGATTTGTGTGTGTATATATTACTACTGTATGTTAAAAAATACAAAATGTCACAAATAAATTATAATAATTTAACAAAAATCATGATAAAAATTAAATTTATTAGTCATTTTAGAAAATTCAGCATTTTGAAGGTCTGTCCAAAATCAACAACCATGTATCTTCACATAAAGAAATGGGACAAATGGGACAAATCAAATTAAACGTTCTGTTTGATGCAGTTGTAGCAGGTCAGACTGCAGTTTCAGGGCAATTCATTTTGGGGCTATTGTTTTGTTTACAGTGCCCAGAGAAAAGGAGGAGAGAGAAAGAGGACATAGAGGTGTTTAAGCAGCACTCCCCTGCTAATCAGAGTTCTAATCCCACCGTAGTGACTATGTGGGTGGTAAGCAGATGGATGGGGAGGCTGCTCAGAAATAATGCCAGATAATGGCCTCCATTTTATATCCTACTTAGTGACACTTCGCTCTGGATAATCTCATTAAAACAGGGCCAGGCCTAAAGCCACTGGTTTTTAGACAAAAGGGGAGAGAGAGAAACTCTTGGCTCCTGACCACAGGTTTTGTAGGATTTCATTGCCAGGCAGTCAGATGGTCGGGCAAGAGAATCGTCATTAGAATCGTCGTCATGAGAGTTGACACATGCTCCTTTTTTCAGTCTTTACATGTGGGAAATTCACTGAAGTCTTGGGATATCCTCGCATACACTAAATGGAACATGTTTTATTAAATTGCCGGTTGTGAAAATATAACGTTAACCAGGATCACTCACTGTCTTACCGCTCTGTCCTTGTTCTGGCTCAGGAACACATAGTGCATCACAAATACGACTCTTCCCTGTACTGCACTTTCCCTTTTTTTCCTTCCCCCACTCCCGTCAGCTTTGATGAGACGCAATGCAGTGATGTACCGTTTGCCACGGCTACTGTTCTCTTGCCCTGTCAAGCCTGGGTTACTGTCGCTTGCCAAAGTGCCACCCCAGATTGTTTATCCGTCCTTCTCTTTCCTCTCCTTGCACTTTTACATACACACATGCTCTCTCATCACCTTCTTTCTGACCTCTAGCTGTAAGTGCAATACACCGGAGACCTGAATCTTTTATTCAATGTAGTCATACACATATGGATGTTTCATCAACTATGGGCACTCTAAGGCCCTGTGGCCTTTTAAAATGTAAAACTCACTATACAAACTAGTCTGCTAACAACGTCCAAAAGTTGAAATACATGCATCAATGTGTCATTTCCACCACATCTCAAACAATCATTCATTCTACGATTGAAATGATATTTTAAACCTTTTGGAATTAAATTGGTCAGCACCTTTGTTTTGCTGAAGCTAATTTTATAGCTAACATTTGACGTCCTAAATACACATTGTTAAATATTTCATGGTATATGTGCTTGATTGGTATCTAAATAATAATAAATAAAAATAGTCTATTCAAAAGAGAAATACAAATAAAAATAAATGTACATTTTTATGGTGGACTTTCATAGTTTATGATTGAAAGCCTGGGTCTGAGCAAGGGTAAAATAACAAAATCTGTACATAAAAGGGTATTTGGAAAAATAGCAAAAATAAATAATGAAGGCATAGTAGGGTTTCCCAAAAAAAATTTCAAGTATGATCTTTATATAACAAAAAACTGAAAATAACCTTACGTTTTAATAGAAATAATGTCATTCCTCTGACACATAAGTCCCCATAGTTGAAGAATACACATTTGTTTCATTTATTGACAAAACACAAAAAAAAACACATCCCTGTATTTTTGTTGATTCATTGCACAAGTAATTCTAAGAATAATTTATTTCTGTACACTCTGTGAATAAAAAAAAAAAAAAACTGGGCCAATATTTATCAGCGATTATGTAAACTGTCAGCAGAAACGGCTTTATCACATTCCTCTCAGTGGGGAAAGCATTTCAGAAGTCATTACCGCAAGGATTGTGTTGAGATGCTGAATAAAGCAGATGGCGATGCTGCTAACTTAGCGGAAGGCCTTTGTTTTTAAAGGTTTGAATCAAGCTGAAAATCCCCTACTCTAAATGCACACATCCCCAGCCCAGTGTTGCTACCTCAGCAACACCTCGTTCGCTGCTAATAGTGAGGATAAAAACAGAGCCTATAGGGAGTAATGGTGATTTTCTTGTGAGTCAGGAATCATATTGAATGAAAACTTTTAATGGAATACATTAAGAAAGTGTTAACACTTCTGGCTATCAGCACAAATCAAAATGGAAAAGACTGATTGAGCAGCGGTTCGAAAGGGGAAAAGAATTGGATACTTGTAAGGTTCTCGGGCTCGGCGGATCCTTTTCTGCGTGAAAATGAACACAATTGTGTTTATAATGATACGGCAGAAAAAAAGACACACTCAGGCAGGGCCGTGAATTGATTGCGTCTGTGATTTTCCATCTGATGAGGAGAAGGGGGAAAAAGAGCGACTGCAGATAATCTTCTGTTCATATTCTTCAAGCAGTAAATAATTACCGCACGATTAAAAATGGCTTCTGAGAAACAGCGCCAACCCCCCTCGCACCAGCCCCCTGCTGTTTAGGCCTCTCCCTGTGTAGCAGAAAAGCAAGCGGCACATGCTATCGCACCCAGCCTGCTTTGTCTCCTTGCATTTTGCTTCCTTATTTTCCCCAATCCGCAGATGCCATTGTTGGTATTTAATGGATTGGCACAGGCGGCGGTGCTGCTATCAGTTCGCTCTGTGTTTAACACTTATGTAGCTTACATCAAAGCTGCTTTGTGCGACTGCTTGTTCAGGTACACAACCCACTCGCACGCCGAGCACCCAACCATCTGTCACGCTGCTGACCTGAACGCGGTGTCCGCTGTTTGCTGCCAAGCGTAGCACGTGCTAACCTTAGCGTCAAGCTGAGCCGACATGGATACAGAGCCGTATATGACTTCTGTCACTATACTGACCGGAGAGCAGCTTGCTCCTCCCGCTAGCAAATTAACGATGGCATGTGATTTAAAGCCAGAAAGACATCTTACCATTCCTTCGCAGATGTGCTGGAACTCACACCATCATGCTGATGAAAAACTGCAGGGAAAAGCAGATGTAGTGGCATGAAAAATTCATTGTGCTTGATGTTTGCAAAAGCACGTTGAGGTTTGAAACACCTCGGTAAGTGTTAGACTGCTGTGAACGTGTGAAAAACCTCCATGTCAAACATTCGCTATGTTTATCTGATGCTGTAGAAATAAAACATCAATGGCTTTCCATGTTTTGTAATTTCCTGTTAAAAACAGCATAAGGCCGAATTAAAAGCCCAACACATGCAACACGCCATCTAAATGGCAAAATTGTACAGGCTATTGGGAGAGAAGTCTGATAGAATAGCAGGGATTAACAACCGTAGTGATTGCAGGGAACACACACTTCCTCACATAATTCAGTGTCGTGATGTGTTCCGCATTCAGCCTGGAGTAAACAAAGTAAATGATAGGTTGTCATTCAGGGTAAAACATTCAGATCTCATTTACATTGTTTGACAATGAACTTTCTGTCACCATCCCAAAGCCGCTGACAAACATGAGCACAGGAATAAACCAATCACCTTCCGTTTAGTTTTTTTTCCTCCAAAGAAGGCTATTTACCCTCTATTGGGTTATAAAAAAATGTGCATGGGACTTTATTTCTCTCTTTTCTATTTTTTTCTCTCCAATTGCTGCTGACATCCTTTAAGCAATCATGTACGTGTGTTTGAGCCGTGGCCTTGTGGTTAGCTCTTGTGCACCAACACTAGGTTGGGCAAAATTCAGAATTCAAGATTTGGCTTCCTTTTAGTGTTTTTGAGTATGACTTTGAATTGGAATGACAGGAAGAGGAAATTGCTGAATTGCAATTCAAAGAAATTCAAAACAGGCAATGCATTCTGGGAAATTAAGTGGCCTTCCACCCTGTTCCACAAAAGTTAATATATTAAATATGATGAAATATTACCTAGGTGGCATCTTGAACTTTAAAGGCTTTTTAGAATTGTCTTTTAGTTAAACACAATTGTGTAAATTTCCATTCTACTATTTTACTTTCAAATTCAAATGGAAATTCTACATCCTGTTTGCTACCTTAATTCAAATTGAGAAACTGAATTGAAGTTTCAGGAATTAAATA